CTCTGCTGGAATGTTGTCTGGTCCTGCTGCTTTGCCGCTCTTGATTTGTCTGATGGCCATACTGATCTCCTCAATTGTAGGTGCGCCAATATTAATTGGGAGGTCCGTGGATGCTGCTTCGATGTTGGGTGGGTTCAGTGGAGCTGGTCGATTCAGGAGTTCCTTAAAGTGCTCTACCCACCTATTTCGCTGTTCGTCAGTGTTGCTGATTATTTTCCCATCCTTGCTTTTCACTGGTCGTTCTGGTTTACGATAGTTTCCGGCGAGCTTCTTCGTTGTTTCGTACAATTGTCTCATGTTTCCTTCTCTTGCAGCCTTTTCCGCCGTCATTGCTAGATCTTCCACGTATTTTCGTTTGTCAGCTCTGATGCTCTTCTTCACTTCCCTGTTTGCTTCCGTGTATTCAGCTTGTGCCTTAACTTTCTCTGCTCTTGATCGGCTGACATTCACTGCTGCCTTCTTGTTCCTCCTTTCTTCAATTTTTTCAAGAGTACCAGCAGAGATCCATTCCTTGTGATGCTGCTTCTTGCGATCAAGGACCTCCTGACATGTTGAAGTGATTGCCTCCTTAATCCTTTTCCAATTGTACTCCAATGTTGCTTCCTCTCTATTGAGTAGATCCTGAAAGGCCTGGAACCTATTGGTGAGGGCTATCTTGAATTCGTTGAGTTTTACGGTATCCCGAAGAAAGGCTGTATTAAACTTCTGTGATGTTGTCTGTCCCGTTGTCCAGTGCTTCTTTAGCTTCAGTTTCATTTTGGCGACCAGCAAATGGTGATCTGAAGCTATATCAGCTCCTCTCCTGGTTCTCACATCCTCCATAGTCCTTCTGAACTTTTTGTTGATACAGATATGATCAATCTGGTTTTGAGTAGTGTGATCCGGTGAAATCCACGTAGCTTTGTGTATGCGTTTGTGTGGGAATATTGTGCCCCCTATTCTTATCCCTTGATTGGTTTGCTACTGAAACGTTTATGATTGACTTTGTTACCTCTTCTCATGACTTCGATGATACTTGTACATATCAACTCAAATGATAGCGAAAGTCATGAAATGCCAGTAAAAGCTTTGTTCAGAGATCAAATTATTTACAGAACACTATATGTTTTCATAGTTTCATGTGATTGTAGTCTCCTAGAACTTGATGAGTTGAAATAATGACAAAAGATATTCCCTTGGTCTTATTGATGATATTTAGCAAATCATTTATTTGTCTTCCACTTAAAATAAATGTTTGAATTTCTTTTAGTTCAATTAGTTTTAAGTGTTTACTGGCTTTAAGTACAAGATGTTTAGTAGTTTTTTATATATTAGGGTTCTATAACAAATAATTAGGCCCAGGACAGAGTAGGTTAGAGAACGCTGGTCAGCTGCCTATGCGCCACTAGGGGTAACAGGTGTAAATTTTCTTGGATGGGATAGGTGAAAAGTTTATTGATTTACACTAATGAGTCGATGAGTACCAATCAGAAGCCTGTCCTACCATAGTTTATGACTAGAATTCCGTTGATTAAACTGTAGTATGCACGTTAAACTGAGTGGTTCAACAGTAATATGCGCTTAGTATAAATACTGTGCGAAAAGAAATCTTGAAGAAAAAGGCAAAGTCTTAAGTATATACTACTGAAGAGGTTGAAATAAAGACAAAACAAATTTCCACTTGCTTCCAGTCTTCAACTATTCTCTTACCAAAGTCGATCAATAATATAAACTATAATCTGTTCAATTAAGGTCATAATTCGAAATAATTATTTATTCGGTTTTATACAAAGTATTTTCTCAATTCAATCAATGTCTACAGGTGAATCTATTGAGAAATCTTCGTCAAATTATACCTGCTTACAGAGTTTACAGAAATTATCTGATAAATTGATGAAAACTGTTAAGTTTGAACCAGACGATGGCAATAAGGTTCAATCAACTATTGATAAAAAGTGTTCAATAAAAACTGAACATGTAACTGATCAGTCAGATGATGAATCAAAAACTGATGAAGTAAGTTATTGAGTAGTAGTTGCACTTGGATTATTTCATGGTTTTGCTTACATTCTTTTGTTAATTCCTTTTATTCATGCAATGAAATAAGATTTATTTTTTAACAAAACAATTAAATTAAATGCCTCTAAACGAAACGTATAAAAAATCAGTAACAACTTGACGAGAGAGGTAATTCTAGGAATTCTAGTGTAAAATCATGATTGTGTCGTGATCCCTAAGGCCCATCATTGGCATTGGAAGATTGTTAAGCAATATTGTAAGTCAATAAATATTAGATAACTAGGCCACTAACTATGGAATAGTAGTTATTAAGTTGAATTTGTACAATAAGGTTCAATGACACTTAGAGTGAAGCAGTCAGTCAGTCATTCATCAAACACATCTCATGAACAGTCATACAATATTAGGACTGAACTAAAATTCGTAATCTGAGTAGAGAGATTTCAGCTTGTAAGTTTAAACGTGATAAGTTCAACTTCTGGTGGAGTTATAGATGTGAGTAAAAGCTGGAGAACTGTTCGATGAAGAACTAATTCACAGGTTAATAAAAAATGTGAAACCGATCTTCTCTATTGTTGGGGAAGTTAGATCCCCAGAGACCGCTTGTTATATGTTTTATTTAGGATTTTATTCATGGGCTGATCAGTTGACCTTGAGATCACATTTCCCATCTGGAAAAGCCCTGGCTGTGATTGGTTGATGTGTTATTTTAGTATGCTATATTTGTGACTCTCCCAAGGACATTTCTATGATGTATAAATGAACGCGATTTATGTGCTTGATTGCATGGTGCTTGCTGGGTGTTTGTAGAATACACTTTCTACACCATATAAAGACTTTTCCGTCAGTTAGTTAGAGCAACCGATTAGTGTAGCCTAACATGTCACTGGGTTATATTGTCTGGCTCTCGTTTTCCAACTAAGATAAACTCGTAACAGTTTCAAGTATATCAGCTGGCAAGCATAACATCCTACATCACATAATTCAACAATAAATAAATGAATAAATTATATTTTGGGGCACAGTTTTGGAGGTTTGCGTTTTTTACACATTTGAAATCATCAATCAATCATTGTTAGACCACCATTAGAAACCTGGAAGCGTTGGACGGCCGTCAAGTCCTGGTATGGGACTCATCAGCAGTGCGCATCCACGACTGCTGCTCCTCGCAGGATTCGAACCTGGGACCTTCGGCATTGTGGGCGAACGCCTTATCATCGGACCACTGGGCCGGCATCCAACGGTGTTAATGTCTAACTCTGATTGATCTAGGGATTTTGCGCGACCTCACCCATTTGTCTTTGGTAGTTACTGCCTACACCCGACAGGGTTGAACTTCATTGGCCACGTCTTCTCAACTAGAACTCCGAGAATTTCCTCACGAAGCCAGGTTTCTAACGGTGGTCTAACAATGATTGATTGATGATTTCAAATGTGTAGAATAAATTATTACTAACAGATTATTATGATTATTATTATTTTCTTTTCCCTAATTTTCCAAAGTCCTCCATTTCACATGAACCGCCAAAAAAATATACATTACAATGGAATTTAATATCACCTAATCATGTAATTGAAGCAATCTATGAATTTACTGAAGATTTACGTCAACAACGTCAATCTTCCAATGATCATGATACTGACAGAGTAAAAACATCTAAAGAACCTGATATTATTCCATTAAAAGATAAATTAAAAAATAATTTACAATCTATTAAAACAAATGAATCATGTTCATTGAATAAAAAAGAAACAAAACAACCATTTGATTTAAATAAAATTGATATATTTTTTGAAGATAGTATTCGTGATGATTCACAAGATTTAGCTTATTGGAATAAATATCAGTAAGTGATTTCTTCCATTTTTTTTGAAAATTGAAATGGTAGTGTGTCGATTTATTGCGCGTTCTTAAGCTCGGTAATTAGCTCGTCTAGACAATAATCGTTTCTAAAAATGGCGTCTGACGTTTTATAAATCAAACGGTGAACTCGTAGTGTTGAATACGGTTATTTGGGACACACACCACAAAGCGAAGCGGAGAAGTAGTGAATAGAACGAAAGAAGCGACATGAATTGGAGAAGGCTGTTGAACCAACATTCCAAGAGATAGAAGA